GTGTCCCATTCTCCCCTTGGGCCTCTGTACGGTTTTATTTTTGGAACTGATTTTATTCCGGTGTTTCGGGAGTGCAGGAGTTTACTTCCATTGCCCATCACAGCTGCTCAGTTCATTGTACACGGTTTTGCCAGCCAGAGTCAGCAAAGGTGATCCTCTGCCAGATGGATGCACTGGAACTCTGTTCAAAACTAGAGTTGTGCTTCTTATTCCCAGCTGAAAATAGTTTATGTGAACAGTTGTAGAGCTGGCTGGGATATTGCAGTACTGAACCTGAACACAGATGGAAGAAAAGAGTTGCAACGTTTAAAAAAGAAGGAAATAAATCCCTTCTCTCTCCATTCTTGTCAACAAAATTATACACAAAACATAATTCACTACTGCAGCTGGGGGAAGTGGACAGCTGAGGTCAGGAGTTATCTAAGAGCTGCTTACAACTTTGCATGGTGCTGCTTGGAGGGAAAAACCTTAATTTTCTGACTGCACCAGTCTTGCTAATTATGTGATTTTTTTTCTCTTATAAACTTTTATCTGTAGAGGCACCAGGGGGCACTGTTTAAAAATTTTTGAGTATAAAAAATGACACTGAAAAACAGAAAATACAACCTGTACAAACCCACTGCATTGCAAAGCATTATGTAAATTAATTATTGGCTTCATCATAACCTACCTGCATTTGTACACATCTGAGCTTAGTTCAGTGTATTTTTAGCGGGTCTTTCATACTCTTAATTGCAGTCCTTGTTAATTTACCCTTTTGCTGTGGATTTTTGTGGCTTAGGCTGTGTGGTGGAACAAGCTGCTTCCTGAGCTTTGCACGAGAACCAGACTTTCTGGCAGTGACTGCCCTGTTCTTGTTTCATCACTGAAAGGTAAATGAGTTGACGGCAGCTCAACTCCAGGAGCATTTGTACGTCATCTGACATCCTAAATACTGTTCAGGCTAAGGATGACTGATGTGATAATTTGGAAGAAAAGGGAACCTTTTTGTACCGTGACAGCTAATACAGCTCAGCAGGCTTCCTAGTCTCCAGCACAGAGTTCTGCAATGTATAAAAATCACTGCATTCATTTTCTATTGGAACTAGTTAAATTGTGGGAATCGTATTGTTTCTATATAGGTAAGAATAGACACCATTAAAAAAACTTAATAGAACTAATAGATAGTAATTGGTTTGTGGTTTTTTGGGTTTTTGTTTTCTTGGCTAAGTGACTGTATGGTTCTAAGCAATGACAGCTAACAGGCTACTGTTGATAACCCCATGGGTGTGTGAACTGTGATTGGGTCATAGACTGGAAAACACACAGTGTGTTACTACTGGAAATCCAGAAACCAGCCCTGGTAGTTGATGTAGTCCTGTTGTTATGTGTTTGTAGAAGGTCAATAATATTTTGTATGGCTGAAGGGACCAGTGTCCTTGTATTGACAGAAGATTGAATAAAGCACGTGTATTTTAAAAAAAACTGCCAGTGTGATGCCTGAGGGCAGAAGAACAGCATCATGGAGCTGAGCTGTGCAGCACAGGTTGCTGTGCTCTGTCATAAAGTTTTAGTTTCTACTACTAGCGGTTTTGCTTCTGAAATGATGTTTTCATGCAGTAACTGTGCTGTAGTCACTTAAGAACAGAATGTTAAACAGTTTGGTATGAGAAGCTGGTTGCAAAACGTCCTATTTTACAGATAGTGCTGAGTTAGGGCACTAGTATAGATTTCTGGGGCTTAATTTCCATTTAATACAACACATGTGAAGTACTGGAACAGACTTCCATAAGCATCGGTGCTACATTTAGACTGGATGAGTCAAGACAGAGGTATGATTTTAACCTAAGACATAATTTCAGTTTACTTTTGAGATTTCCTACAGTTGCATTTGCTCCCACATGGGTGCGTCTCCACTTTCATTCCAGCTGCAATATTTAGATAATTTGATGACTTCAATTAGTAATCACATTGTAAATGTTTTTTCATTTCTTTGTTCTAAAATCAAAATACCTAAACAAGATTTTCTCCCGTGCTCTGAGCAGAAACCTTATCCATTGTTGCAATGGAACTGGAACTACGCGATTTCCTCAGTCTCCTGCCAGAGGACGGAACTGCAGCATTTTTCCTGCCCCATCTTCTTCACTGCAGCCAGAGGAAACTGATGACCTAAAACAATGAAAGTCTGCTGTGCACCCAAATACAAAGAGTGTGCTGGAATAAAAAAGTGAATGAAACAAACAGTAGAACTGCCGGTGAGGTACCACGGGACTCCCCTCACGTAAGTCTCCTTGTGTGTCAGTGGAAAGCTTTGACGACTGTGGATGACAGACGGCATCGGAGGCAGAGCGTCGGTGCTGACGGTAACGTGGTTACGCTCTGGCAAAGGTCAGCAACCAGAGTTTCGCTGGGTCGAACTGAAGGGGCGTTGGACTGGTAAAAACAGCTGCTCTGCGGGTCGGCAGGGTCACTTGTCTTCTCAACGAGGGTGGACTTACGGCCAGAGCAGCTGGAAAACACAGACTGTAGAGTGCAGTTGGACATACAGTGACCACCAGCGGTAGAGCAGGGAGTCAGTCAGGGAGCTGATCGCTGACCCAGGGAGGAGCGTAAGCGCAGACACATATGGACTGTGTGAGTACAAGTCAGCGCCTTGCTCTTCGAGCAGCATGGGGCCCCGCTTACGTCATTTTGCGACACAACCATTTTTTTTTGCTGGCAAAACCCGTCAGCTGCTCTGTCATCTTACTTACACACCCATGCACGTGTTACACTGAAAATATTTTCATTTAGTAATTCACAAAAAAAGGCCATAAATCAGAGAGAAACAGAAGCGTTCCCAAGGGCAGTGAAAGGTACAGACCACCCTTTGCTTGCTGGTTTCTGTTTTCTTTCTTCTCCTCTTTTACTCAGTCAGTAGACAAGTATTTGAAGTACTGCTAGGTCACAAATCCAACTGAAAACTGTTATTTTTTTCTAGTTTTTTAGTAAATATCTCAGGTACTTGCGCATGTATGTACTGATCTTTGTCTGTCTTTTGGGCAGAAACATCCTTCTGTTCCTTCAGCTGGAATTCAGTTGTAATAAACTGTCACCATGTCTGTGACCTTCTTATGAACGCAGTTTGTTTTTTTGAGAATCTACCACAGATAAAACAATGACTCCACATCTGTGGAGTTGGGCTGTTAAGACACAAGCGGATGGCACGATGATACCTGCTCTTACTGCTTTCATTTTTGACAAGCATCAGTCATGATGCACTAATACTGCTGCTTCCCTCTGTGCAGAAATGCTTCATGTGCCAGGGTCCACACTACAGAACGAACAGCAGAATGATTCCACTGCAGGGCAAAGCTCTTGGGGAGAGTAGTCACCCAGTTTTGTCCGTCACTGTCTGAATTTCATCAGGCTTATTTCAGCATAACTTTGTCTGTCTTGTAATTATTTGCATGACAGAAAAACAAAAACATTTTGGGCAACCATGAACCTCAGCCATTGCATCTTTTAAATTCACTATCTTGAAAGATGCTACTGGGTAAAATTATAAAATAATTCAATGGAAATAATAGAACTATTTTGTTAACTGATCAATTATACGATAGGATATATATTTTAAGTGTGAACTGATGGATAAAGCGATAACCAAACTCCTCTTTTCCAAGCAATAACTACTAACATATCTGACTAGAAGAATGTGAGAGCCGATACCTAAAACAAATTTTGCTGTTAAACAGGGTTATTTACAGACTTTAAAAAAAAAAAAAAAGTATGTTTCATTTGACTCTTCCGTGTTCCTCAGCAGTTAAATAACATGCATTAGGCATCACCTAGAATATGTTTAGCTTGCAAGATGCTATTTTTATTTAGAGAAAAAGATATTTATAAGCTGTTATATCCATTCAGCTGTCTTAGTCTACAGCCCTTTTGTTAGCCATGGGCCACCAAATTAAATATCTTCCAAAACACACGTGGAGATGAATTGTCCAGGAAACAGTATTTCTCAAGAAATGCTTCACTGAAGGTAGACCTTGGAAAATCACTGTGATAAAATGTTTTCATCATTCTAGTGTGCCTGCCATACATTTACACTTGAACTAATGGAATAATCTCGGGAACAAAGACCGTTTGTCGGTCAGGGGAAAAATAGCTTCTGTTACGCACATTTCATCAAAGGGATAGTCTACGCTTATGGACAGCTGAGTCCAAAAGGAGAGCAACGGATCCCAGTACCTTCTAGACATCGTGGGTTAGATGTAAAAACAGCTTTAAAATGCACTGAAGGGTACATTTTAATGCCCTTTAGGTGGCTGATTATGAAAAGGCCAAGATACTGCTGCTACAAGTTAAGGTCTGTTTCTGTAAGTCACCTTTTATATTGTCTGTGCAAGTTTGGCACAACAGATTCTGTAAATCAGAATGGTTTCTAAAATAGAACTAGTTGGTGTTGAACATTGTGGTCTGTGTTCTTAGTGTGGATCTATACACATACATACAGTCTGAAATGTTCCGACTGTTCTGTCACTGGGCTATACCGCGTACCCCCTGTGCTGCATCTTTTGAGTACAGGACAGTGTTGCTTTTAAAACTATATTAACCTTGTAGAAACAAGAACTTTCAAAATTCTTCAAGATTCAAGTTTTTTCACAGGTAATATTGCTAAAGCAAGATAATAGTATCTGTAAAGCTAAAGCACGTCTGTCCTTTAAGAGGAAACCACAATTTTGGTTTTTCAGTACTCTTAACTATTAAGGATGGTGACTTCAGCTTTATTTACCAACGGTTCTTTTTGTTTTAAATTAGGATTGAGAGGGAGGCTGGCACTACTGGCACTTCTTGGGTACACAAATGCTCTGTCTCGTGAAGAATTATATTTATATAAAAATCTGCCGTTTTAATTTCATTGATGAGAAGCTGAAGTAACAGTCAGTTGACATCCAGTCTTTTGCTGCTTCTGTTTTCTGAGCAGCAGCGCTGAGGCAAGTACAATCATGTGGCTTCCAGCCTTCTGGTCTCAGACATCGATATTAAGCTGTGGAATGTTGCCGGGTGGCTGAACTGGATCCAAGCACGCTGGCCTGTCTGTGCGCCCCGTTCTGCATCGTTAAACGTAACGAACATGACTGAGATAGATCAGCTCCGGCCTTCCTTGGGGAGCACGGTGTAGGTCGCCTCCATGCCCGCGTGGATGTGGTCGGTGACGTGGCAGTGCAAGAGCCACGTTCCAGGGTTCTGCGGGGTCATTTCCACAGTCTGAAATGTCCCAGGGAACAGATCAAAGACGTCTGCCTGGTAAACCCCTGATTGCTTCAGGACGAAAGGAAACAATGGTTAAACAGCGTGGAACAAGCAGGCTGCAGTAATCTCAGCTACTTTTTATGCGTATTCCTACCAAGCTTTTCAATCACAGTTGAGTGGAAAGACACCTGCTGTAGGTCATTTCTACAGAAGCATCACTCTCTGCGTCCGCTTCATGCTTAGGAGATTAATAAACTAGCAGCTAAGTGGCAATGAAGGGAAACTGCAGCTGTTCTCCTGCCACAGCTGCGAACATTCACAGCCGCCCTGCCCCAGTGACTCGGGAGGTTGCTGGTAGCGAGTGCTGAGGGCAGATACTCTCTGTCTTCTCTATGTTCATCAAATACAGGTTTAGGGCATAAAAACCTTACGGTCAAATCACAAGTCCTGATTCATATTGTAACACCTGACTTTACACCAGAGATCTGTGGTCCTTGATCTGCCTCATTCTGAACACACCAGAAATGAGGGGACAGAGCCGCTGTTACCTTGTAGTGGAAGCTGTGGCCGTGGAAGTGCGCCGTGTGAATGTCCACCTCGTTGCCCATCCCCATCAAATACCAGCTCACTTTGTCCCCAACATGCATCGTCAGACCGTGTAAATTTCCAAACACCTTTCCGTTAATTGCTAAAAAGAGGGTTCAGAGAAAACAAGATTTTGTGTATTGTTATTCTCTAAACGTTAACAGAATACAAGATTTGAAAGCCAATGCCAGGCAAAATTAACGTCTTTGAATGGTATATAAAAACAAAACAATTGGACAGCTTATGATGAATGGGTTTGATCATATGCCATATTTAACTAGAAAGTAAGACGTAGTTAGAAGTTCTTTACTGTACACCACAGCTAATGCTGCAGCTCTTACAGATCTTCATTTCCTGCAGCTCTTTGTAGAGGGTGCGTGTTACCGGGAGGTGCTTTCGGCACACACACTGCCTTTCCAACTTATCCAGAACAGTTTGCTGACATCAAATCAAAGTTTCAGATTTCATTTTTACTCTTCCTCTCCTCAAAATTTCAATGTAGGACCATTTTTTATAGTTTAAAAATAATAAAAAAAAAAACCAAAACAAAACAAAAAACAGTGTTTTCAAATAGTTTGAGTGAAATTTTTCAGGCCTTCCACCCTGGAACCAGAAATTCAGAGGGGATGAGAAAGTCAAATTTATATGCAGTTCTTTCAAATACATAATTTTATAGAGTTTCCAGAGTTACAGTAACTAAATTGGGTAACATACCATGCATTTTATTACTTTCAAGGAATTCCTCGTCCTCTTTGTCAACAAGGTGCGGGTTAGTAGAATAGGTTTTAATGTTTTCATCAAAGTACCATGATTCATTTTCATCAAAAACCATAAAAAGAAGAGCAAATTGAACTTTCTTTTCAGCATGAAATGATGGCAAATAATGGTTATGACACACAACGAGTGTGCCTATTAATCCACTGTAAGTGTCCTGAAATTACAAATCAAAAATCATATAATTACAAGATGTGACTAAGCAGAAGCACTTCTAGTGACTGACATGAATTCTCTCTACTATTTTTACAGCTGTCAATATCTGGGATTAAGTGGCCAGTGTCAGACAAACAAGGCTGTTTCTTCACTGTTACATGCCACCCGTGGACTAAGAGAGTAACTGCCTCCTTTTCATCTCTTGCTAGAAATAAACATTTGTTCAAATTTAATTTCTTGCTCATCTTTTATTTCCAAATTCTTTGTAGGTTGTGGAATTTTGAGCTTGCTTTCCATTCAAAATATACTTCTTGACACTTTTTTGTTTGTGTTTGCCAAGACGTGGATGAAAGACTACATTGATTTCTGTTAAAAATGATTAGCCATGTCATGTTAATGGGCACTTGTACAAAAATGGCAGGTTTATGTCCCACAGTTGCATGTTAGTTTTCCCACACATGACTGATTAGATATGGGCAAGCTGCAAAGTGTTAAGTTTTAAGAAGGAAATCTGAGGTGATCTATAGCAACAGCAGAGAACCACGGAGCAGGAGCAGGAGGGGCTGCAGCTCTCGGGTTCTGCCCTGACTCTCTTGTCTTATTCAAGAGACATTTAAATCCAGAGGTATAGTGATGGGGGAATGATGTGACAGAGAAAGCAGAAAGAGTTTCAAACTCATCTCCCTTTTTCTGTGAGTCCTGAACAAAACCCTTTAGATGGATAATAATGTACCTTAACGATGTCCACTGTCGAGTGGTACGCCCATGCAATGCAGTGTGGATCTCCTCTCTCAGAACCAGATCTCTCTGGGATTTGCCAGACATACGTTTTTGTTTCACCTGAATTAAACAAATATTGACGACTTTTAGAAGTTTTCTGTGCGCTGACCTATAAGAGGTCATCCTGAAACAGATGTTATCTCCATTTGCAGCTTATATTTGTCTGGAACTTCCGCTTCCCAATCACTGTCCTGGCTGGCTTATTGTTATTTCCCTTCTGCAGATCCCCGACTCCTCTTGCCAATGTTTTCTTTCTGTGTGGCTGCACTGTCCAGTTCACCATACTTAATAAAAACAATTTTATCCTTTGTAAAGATCACAGAGGAACTTCTGAAATAACAGCTAGCACAAGCTGTGCTCTCCCTGTGTAGCCAAATCTGCTTCCGTGACCAGTGCAGCCACGCTGCATCAAAAAGTCCCTGATCGGTCAAGGGCTCGGATACACAGCAATAGGGCCATTTTAATTGTTGAAATATTTGTCATAATCAGCATCAAAAATTTAAGAACCCGAGGTAAAAACAAACAAACAAAACCAAAGTCTTTCCTGCTATCCTAAAATGAAACCCTGCTGGAAGGCTTGATGGTACCTGCTTGAAATGAACAAGGATGGTTTGATACCTGGGTTTGTTACAGCAGCAGGGCTGTCTGTTTTCACTCCATGGGCGTGTATAGAATAAGGTCTTGATGCCAAGTTCTTGAAAACTATTGTAATTTTATCTCCAATACTTGACATAAGCAGTGGCCCTGTTGGATTGAAAAGAAAGATTGACTTGGTTTTACGAAAGGTCTGAGCAGAGGGCGAGAGTTTGCTGTGTTCAAATATGACGTTGGCTTATAATTCAACTAAAAACCACACACAGCTAATGTCACTCCTGCGCCAGCTTGAGTGGCTGCCCTGAGGTGTCTCCATAGAGGCCCAAGTTTCAAAAGCTCCAAGCACCTGCTGTGTGTTTGAAGTCAGCTTGGATGCTGCTGCCCAGTTTTATGCTGACTTTCAAAATACTGACCTGAGATCAGGCAGCGACCCAGAAGGGTCTTTTCTTGTAAAGCAAGCAACGTAATCTTGCAAGGAAAGCACCGTAATAAAAGCAGAAATTCTGCGTGGGTAGAACTATGCTCGGTATTATTCAGATAGTATCTTGTTTTGTTTCACTGCATTTTTCACAGTTTCAGACCTGAACTTCTTGATGACTCTACCTTGAATTTCCAGGTGCTGCTCCTCCTCTGCTCTGTTTTTGGGAGTACTGAATGTCTGATCAGTGTACTCACGATATACCACCTTTTTGTATTTTGAGCCAATGAATTTGTCTTCTTTATTTAAAAATTGATTGCCAGGGCTGAAAAAAAAAAAAAAAAAAAAAAAAAAAAGAAAAAAAGAAAACCAAGATAAGAATGTGTCATACATTTCTTTATGTATTTTAAAACATCTTTTGCAGGTGTGTCCATTAGCCATAAAAACAAAAATCCAGCTCTGTGAAACCATAATCTTGTAGGCCACTGGTATCTTCAACATGAAAACATTATTGCTAAGCTAGGAGGTTTAAGATTTATGCTGGACCATTTCACAAACACCTTGCTGTCTGGCTCACAGTTACACAGCGACATTACTGAAGAAGGACCCACAAATTCAAGTGAGCCCTAAAAATGCATATGTAAAGAAAGTAAGTCTAGAAAAGCCTGGAGAAGGAAAAGGTTCAGAGGAGAAGTGAGTTGCTCCTTTGCTTTTTTGCATTTTTTCCCTTGTGTATATTCCAAAGTACCTTTCCTCATGGTATTGATGCCGCTCAAATTCCCATGTCCTGTTAGGAGAATAGTCCCATTCAACTTCCACTGCAGCAATATAGTAAGTCTTTTCATGCAAATACATCGATACATCCACATTCCACCAATGGCATTGTTTCACTTTGTAGTTCTGTTTCATGCCCCCTTTGTAGTGATCTGCTGTCAGGCAAGACACTTCAAAAACTCCTAGAGGTTGTACAAGAAACGAAGACTTGAGGACAAAAATCTGTTACTTGGGATTGTATTACCTGTCTTGATTTAGTGTTTAGAGACTGAGACACCGGCTATTGCTCATGTGAGATCCAAATTCTTTGTGTAGAATGGCTATTTCTAGTAGTAAAATCCAGCATACAAAGGAGCTAGAAAAATCAGGGATTTAGCATTAAGAGGTTACGTCCTATGAACACAAATTTGCTGCCATCCAAACACAGCTGTACAGTTTTAGCACGCAAAGGATAAAAGTATCAGCTATTTAAAGCTTGTCTCTAAGCATAAAATGCTCACAGGTAAGCAGTATCTAAACTAGTAACAGGATTTTTAAATGACATTTACCTTCAGAATCAGGCTGCATGATAGCTGTAAGAAACGTATGTGGAAACAGATTTGCTGTATCCCTTCTTGTTCCTTTAGTTATGAATGTGTTTTCTGAAAAGTATATGCCATGGATATCGACTTCTGACCCCAAGCCCATCAAATGCCAGGAGACCACACTTCCTTTACACATCTCAAGACCAGGCTGATTTCCGTACATGTAACCGTTAATGGCTGTAGAAGATTTCAGGAAGCAAAACCCACCTTGATTAACACATTACTTAATTCTGCAATACAGATTAAACAATACACACTTCAGGTGTAATGTGATGGCTCAGACTGACAGAAATATCAATAATAAAACACTTTATCATGTCAGCAAAATTAGAGCATCAATTCAAGCAAAACAGCTTTTAAAACCCAGTGTCTAAAAACAATTTCCAACTGCTCTCCTTTCCAGTGTCTGAAGCACAGGCAGCCGACTTGACCAGCTGGAACGTCCCTGCTTTATACCCACCGAGCGTGCAGGATGCAGAAAGCATCCCACCTGGCACCCTGCAAGACCCTCCAGCTACCCGCTGGAGGACACCTGAAGTGTATTTCAGTTTGAGTTCCTAATCCTGCCCAGCTGCTCCTGTGCAAAGCTTTCAGAGCCAGGGCCTCACAGGTACCGCTGCACGCTGGGTGTCAAGGCTCTGTACAGAGGAGGAGTGCCCGGGGGCAAAGTCTAAGAAAGAGCACAAGCAAATGTGTTTAAAGATGAGGAGTTATTTGCAGGGCTAGGTGCTGGAGATAAAAATGTTACTGCACATGAAAGTGAAAAGACGTTTCTACAGTAGCAAAATGCAATCAGTGTGCAAGTCAGCTCTGCCCTATGAAAGGAGCAAAGACTTTCACTGCAGGGGGGCCGCAGTGCTGGCAAAGGGATCCGGGGCGGCCGTGGACACAGGAGGAGCCAGAAACCTGCCACAGAGCCGCTGCGGTGCCCGGGCTGCGCTGGGGCAGGCGAAGGGCAGGTTGCAGCTGACGCTGCAGAAATGCCTCAGACACACGGAGCTGGGAGGCAGCTTGTCAGAAAAGGCCCTGGGGGTCCTGTTGGGCACCGGGCTGGTCATGAGGCACCAGTGTCCTCACTGCAAAGCAGGTGAACAGGGTCCTGGGCTGCATCAGGCCGAGCACGGC